TGTTTATATGTTTGTCTTGTTTTGCCTGAAAATAATAAAAATCATTCCCCCCCCCCCAAAAAAAAAGAAAGAAAGAAAAGAGAAGGTCTTGGCCTCTACGTACTGTTTACTAAAAAGTTTATTTTAGGGGCTCTTTATACCCAACCACTTTTATATGAGCAAGGCTTATTGAAACATAGCAGAACCATGAACACAAACTTGTACTCCATGAAGGCAAGACAAGATTACAAATATAAGCAACAGACAGCAATATCCCATGAACACCAAACTGTACTCCATGAAGGCAAGACAGGGTTAAAAACAGAAGCAACATACAGCAATATCCTTTAATTCATAAGAACATAAGAGAAGCCTTGTTGGATCAGACCAATGGCCCCAGAATTCCAGAAGCCCTATCACTGTGGCCCCTCCAAGCTCCAAGGATACAGAGCATCACTCCCTCAGACATAGTGTTCCATTTATTAAAAAGTAAAGATTTCCTTTGCTCAAAAGATTGAATCTGACTCTGTGGGGCAGTGCTCATCTCTGTTTCCAAGCCAAAGAGCCAGCACTGTCTGAAGATGTTTCCGTGGTCATGTGGCCAGCATGACTAAATGCCGAGGCACATCTATACCTTGTGACTAATAGCCAATGATGGACCTCTGCTCCATAGGTTTATCCAATCCCCTCTTGAAACTCCCTATGCTTGTAGCTGCCACCACTTCCTGCGGCAGTGAATTCTACATGTTAATTATTCTTTGGGTGAAGAAGTACTTCCTTTTCTCTGTTCTAAACCTACTGCTCATCAATTTCATTGAGTGCCCATGAGTTCTTGTATTGTGAGAAAGGGAGAAGAGTACTTCTTTCTCTACATTCTCTATCCCATGCATAATTTTGTAAACCTCTGTCATGTTAACCTTCAGTCGTCATTTCTGGCTTCCGCGAATGGCGGACGCATCCTCGGGGCGCTCCCGAGGGCGTCTTGCCCGCCCGCAGCTGAGGGGGGGATCCGCATGAGCGGAGACCCAAACGAGCCCCAGGAAGAGGGGCTCTGAGTCCCGGGGCGCGCAGGCGGGGCCCTCTTTCTCGGCTGAACGGTCGGAAATTGAGGCGCCCGCCATGCCCCAATGGACCTCGCTGCGCAAGCGGCCCCGCACGGGGCTTAGCGGAGCCACCAGATGTCACCGAGCGATGAAGCGATTTAGCGAAGAAAAGAAAGCGGCTAAAACTGTGAGTTGTCGAACTGAAAAAAGAGCTAAGCGTATCCCCGCCCCCAAGCGAAAAGATTTGAGGGAGGAGGAGGGGAAACCCCCGCTCCCGTAAACAGAGATTCTGAACGAAGAAAAGGGGGGGGGATGGAATTTGAAAAGAGAAGTGGTTCCCTTTGGTGCGTGGTGAGAAGAGGCTTGAAGTTTTTTGTCTTTAAAAAGCGATATGAACTTTAATAAAAGTAAACAAAAAAAACCAAGATGTCGGAACTGAACTTTGAAATTAGCGAACAAGAAAGGAGGAGCTTCCGGTGTAGGCGTTTCATCTTTTATTGTGCACAAATTGCAAGCGACTGTGATCTTGTCTGGGACTGTGAGAAAAGAATTAAGCTGTGACAAGCGAGAAAGTGCCCTTAAAAGCGCTTTTACAAGTCAACAGTTGCGGAGGAAAGGTCCGGCTAAGAGAATGGCAGCGATTAAACATATAAGCGAGAGATGGAAAAAGGAGAAAACCATTCTCAAAGCCAGAGACCTTTGGAAGAGGCACGAGAGAACAAGGACTACGGCATTTGCAGATCGCACAGACAGCGGAAACAGTGACCCAGAGGAGGAGCCGAGGAACCGGAGAGAAATAAACAGAGGAAGTTCCTGCCTGAATCCAGAGATTAAAAGAAGCCAGCCCGTAGAGGATCGTCTTAAAAAGCATGGGAAAAGACTTTGCTAGCGGAGTACCATTGGGACACTACTAATACTAACATAGACAATGCAGTTAACCGGTTTGAAGAAAGAAGTTTGACAACACACAGAAGAAGCCAAAGAAGAAAATTTTACTATTACTAACAGATTAACTTTACCAGTTAAAACATCACTCATCTTTCTCTTGATCCCACGATATACCCTCCCCATTTCTAATTAAGCGAAATATCTCTCCTTTTCAGGAGAGGGAATAAAGCTTTTAAATAAAAAAAAACCTTCAGTCGTCATTTCTCTAAGCTAAAGAGCCCTAACCTCTTCAACCTTTCTTCATAGGGAAAGTGTTCCATCCCTTAATCCTTTTAGTTGCCCTTCTTTGCATGTTTTTCAATGCTGGAATATCTTTTTTAAGGTGCAGTGACCAGAACTATATACAATATTCCAAATGAGGCCACACCATAGATTTATACAAGGGCATTATGATACTGGCTGATTTGTTTTCAATCCCCTTCCTAATGATCCCCAGCATAGCATTTGCCTTTTTTATTGCAGTCACACACTGAGTCAACATTTTCAGTGAGTTACCTACCATAGAATTAATAGAATCATAGAATGTTAGAGTTGGAAGGGACCTTGCAGGTCATCTAGTCCAACCCCCTGCACTCTGCAGGGGCATAGCCAAAAGATAGCCCTGCAACATACCCAAAAGATGGTCGTCCAGCCTCCGCTTGAAAACGTCCAGCGAAGGAGCATCCACCACCTCCCGAGGCAGACTGTTCCACTGCTCAACCACTCTTACAGTTAGGAAGTGTCTCCTGATATTTAGCCGGTATCGACTCCCTCGTAATTTCCACCCATTACATCTAGTCTTGCAATCCGGAGCAAGAGAGAATAGATCTGCTCCATGTTCTACATGACAGCCCTTCAAATACTTGAAAACTGCAATCATGTCCCCTCTAAGCCTTCTCTTTCCCAGGCTAAACATACCCAACTCTTTCAGCCTTTCCTCATAAGACTTGGATTCCAACCCTCTCACCATCCTGGTTGCCCTCTTCTGGACATGCTCGAGCTTGTCAACATCCTTCCTAAAATGTGGTGCCCAAAACTGGACACAGGACTCCAGGTGAGGCCTGACCATAGCAGAATAGAGCGGAACTACCACCTCCCGTGACCTGGACACAATGCTTCTTTTAATGCATCCTAAAATTGCATTAGCTTTCTTCACAGTCACATCGCACTGCAGGCTCATGTTTAGCTTGTGATCAACCAGAACACCTAGATCCCTTTCACATGTGCTGCTGTTGCCGGCCTTGCAGCTCCACTGCCGAGCCCCATGAGGGGCCCGGTGGTGGACCTGCAAGGCCGGCGGGAGTGCAAGGAAGCCCCGCAAAGGCCCTCCCTGGCCCCAAGCAGGCAGGGGTGGGGAGAGGCAGGGAGGAAGCAACTTACCCTCCCTCTTCTCCTGCCTCCTCCTGGCTGAATGAGGGCTGGAAGTGGGGTGGCCGGAAGCAGGGGGCGGGGCTTCGTCATGTGCCCCGCCCCTCATACCTCACCCGGGGAAACTGCAATCCCCCGCGATCCCCCCCGAAATGACCTCTGCTGCCGCCACCCCCAGCTCTTCTCTTCTTCAGTATCCTGAAGCCTTCCAAATTTAAGCTTCCCTTGTACAAGCCATGTGTCCTAGTAATCCAAACGGCTGCTGTCAAGCAATACCCACTATAAACATTTTTGTTGCACTGTACTGGCCCTGACCCTCTTTTGCTGAAGCTGCTGACCTTTCTTTTTCTTTTACTCTACATAAGTACAGATCAAATGGTATGTAAAACCAAAATGAAGAGCGGGTGTAGCACAGTGGATGAAAGACTGAACTTCATACCATAAAATCCCCAGCTCCAACCACCCTTCTGCCATGAAGTCCCTGGTTAGCCTTCAGCAAGCCATTTTTACAATAAGGAGATGACAAGCCCTACATACACTAAATGCTCCAAAGCGATTTATAAATATTAATTACTCCTGCTATTACTACTTTCCAAATAGAGAATACATTCCATAGACTTCACTTACTGCAACTGAAACATGTAGGCTATCACAATACTGACTAGGATGCTGCACTGGTACAAGGCCCATTGTGAGATTTAAGCACAATCCTCAGCTACTATACAACATAAGAAAAAAACCTGTTAATACTAATGTTGTGCATATAGATCCACTCAATGGCACTCAAACGTGTTTTCTGTATTGACAACTTTTATTGACATGCTTGAACGTGGGCATAATGAACTGTAGGGGGAAAAAGATTCTCCCTAATGCTTACAGGAGCAGTCAGATTCAGTTGTCAGATGCACAGCTCTTTCTCAGCCACCAAAAGGATTATTATTGTTGCCCTTAACTGAATGTTAACTATTACTATTTATGACTTTTGTTTAATAGCCCCAATCCAAACCTCTGCTTTCTCAAGTGCACTGCAATGCTGTATGCTATGGTGCAGTGACCTTAGGCCTTCTGCCCCTCCCACTGGAACATCTGGTGGTTCAGCCACTCCACATCAGTTATGGGGACTGAAATAGAAAAGCAAACACCCCCACACACGAAAGTGTGGCCATTTAAGGCTATAGTAGTAAGGGCACATGTACGTGCTAGGGTCCCTGGCTCCGTGGTAGAACATTTGATTTGCATTCAGTCAGTCCCAGATTCATGCTTTTCATGCAGAATGCCCCTGGTTCAACCCCTGGCATCTCCAGTTTTAAGAATCAAGTAGAGGGAGATGTGAAAGACTTCTGCCTAAGACCCTGGAAGGCTACTGCAGTCAAACTAGACAACACTGACCTAAATACACCAGATTTCTGATTCAGTATAAGGTAGTTTCACGTGTTCCTGTTCATTACTAAGCAACAAATGGGGGAGGGGAAGGGAGAGGGACAGTGAACCAACTCCACCTACTCACCCCTCCTTGTTATTCCTGCAATACAGACATCTAGTTCCTCACTGAAATACTAGAAGGAAATAATGACAGCTTCAACTTAATTGCCCAATATAAGTTTACTGAGAAATCTGACAGCCCCAAAAACCTCTACAACTTAGACCTTTGGCCTTTTGAACTATAAAAATTCCCACACATACCTTTCAAAGTGGAACGGCTAGTAGGTCTCCCAACATTATTTTTCAGGTGCTTTGTTGACATGCGTTTCATCTGCCGTGGTGTGCTAGGAGGAGAAGTTCCATAGAAAGGTTCAGCATTTGCTTCATCGGATAACTCCTCAGAATCAGATTCGGAGATTCTGCAAGTGACATCTTCTGACTTGCACTCTTGCCTAAGCAGCAGAAGGAATAAAAATAAAGGTGAGTTTAGAACAGGTAGCCCATTAATGTGTCGCCACCCCAACACTGTTGCGGTGTACTGAATGTTAACTATTACTATTTATGACTTTTGTTTAATAGCCCCAATCCAAACCTCTGCTTTCTCAAGTGCACTGCAATGCTGTATGCTATGGTGCAGTAACCTTAGGCCTTCTGCGGTGGCTCTGTGGTTAAGACACTGTTGCGGTGGCTCAAGTGGTTAAGACGCTGTACTGCAGGCTGTGGAAAGTCAGTAGTTCAGCAGTTCAAGACCCGGGTGCCGCAAGACGGGGTGAGCTCCTGTCTCTAGTTCCAGCTCCTGCCAACCTAGCAGTTCGAAAGCAAGAAATTGCAAGTAGATAAATAGGTACCACTTCGGTGGGAAGGTAACAGCGTTCCGTGTGCCTTGGTGTTTAGTTATGCCGGCCACATGACCACGGAAACGTCTTCGGACAGCGCTGGCTCTTCGGCTTTGAAACGGAGATGAGCACCGCAACCCTAGAGTCGGATTCGACTGGCTTTCGAGCAAGGGAACCTTTACCTTTACCTTTTACCCCAACACTGTGAACTTTGTGTACTCCTGCCACTCCCATAAAACATACAAAAACTCTCCCAACAAAGCCATTTCCCCCCATGCTCAAATGGGACATGCTTTCCTGTCTTTTACTGAAGAAGGCTTTGGATTGTTCATGTACCATTTGCCATATACAATATTCTAAAATTCAATTCAGAAGAAATTCCTCCCAAAAATATTAGAATGTTAAAAACACTGATATTTATAGTTGCCTAACTGAAGGACCACATATATTCCCTTCTGTTCAAATAGAGAAATGGCTATCACAGGTTATTGTACAACAGGACAGATGTGCTCAAGAACTAGAATTGTACAGTACATGCTGAAGCACATGCAGCCCTACATCTAGGAACAGCAATAACTTAAGCAGAAGACTGTTGCATACACAGAAGTTTGTTTCAGAGGGAAGCCGTGTTGGTCTGAAGTAGAAGAGCTAGTTTCGAGTCCAGTAGCACCCTCAGAGACCAATGAGTACAAGATTACAGAGTACAAGATTAGCATACCCTGGCAGATCTCAATTCACTGGACAATGGTCCACCTTGGTTCAATATTATCAAATATCCAGTTGAGTACGTCAACATTGAGATGGCAGCTTATATTTTCATTATGGTGTCATTTGTTAGTAAGAGGAGAAGTGAAGGGGGATGATTCCACATGGGACAAGGAATATTGCCTTCCCACCTAGCTTCACTGGTGCAAGAGGAAGTGACTGCACTCCCTTCCTTGTCCTCACTGCAGCCCATCAACCCACATGGTTATTACTAACCTGCACCGGTCCCATGACCCCAAGAACCAACTTTTCTGGGGATGGAAATGGCTGCTGGTAGGAGCAACCATCAGTACCTTCCAGGGGTAGGGAAAGGTCACAGAAGGGGGGGGTTGTCCCTTTCCTCCAGGAAGTCCCTGCAGCAAGATGGGAGTTATTTCACCCCCCTTTACCTTTCTCACTGCAGCCCATCAGCACAGATGGCTGTTACTCTATATAAGTCTAATGAACTTGGATGTTAATTTTCTTGTATTTAGAAACAGCTGCTGAGGAGGAGGGGAAGCAGGAAAGATCTGCTTGCACAAGCACTGCAGATCACTGGATCCAACGCACTGTTTCACACAAAAGTTAACTACTTTGTTTTTGTATTCAGTGGAAGTATCCATTTTTGTTGTTCTAAATATTGTATTTATTACATTTTCATCCCACCCTTCCTTCAAAAAGTTCATGGCAGAATCAGGATTTGAACCTAGCTCTCCCCAATTCCTCGTCTAACATTTTAACCACTGTACCAGGCTAGCTTAAAAATATTTGATTGATACTAGACCAAATCTTTTTTGATGAGTCAAATACCCAACCCTACAGGTGGCCACTGAATCCGTTGCAAGTTCCCAGCTTCCATGTAGCTATGCAGAGCTGCTATTTACCTTATTGTAACAATTGTACGGGAACCTGTATGTTTGCCCCAGTAAGGGAGAACTGACATGCAGAAGACCTAAACCCCACCCCCATTTGTTTAACATATTTATCTCACCCTTCCTAAAAGGAGCTCAATATATTATTTCCCTGTTTATATATATTATTTGATCCTCAAAACAATTCTGCAAAGAATGCCAAACTGACTGGAAATGATTGGCCTAAAGTCACCCAGTGAACTTCATGGGTGAATGGGGATTTGAATCAAGGTATTTCAAGCTCTAGTCTGACATGTTATTACTTCCAAGTGGTTCTCCCCTTGCCTTTTGCAGAAGTCCTGATGATAATCAGGCTTCTGGCACACCTGGTTTTTGGAGGAGGAAAAACCTGGCCCTTCATTCATAGAACTCCCAGCATTTGGCACTCAGCAAATAAGACTGCAAGTAAAGGTCTATATCCAGCAGAAAAAGACGAACAGCCAACATGAGATGGATTGACTCTATAAAGGAAGCCACAGTCCTCAGCTTGCAAGACCTGAGCAAGGTTGTTAACAATAGGATGTTCAGGAAGTCATTAAGTCATAGGGTCACCATAAGTGAAAAGCAACTAGACAGCACTTAACACACACACACACCCAACCGCACATTGCAAAGTTTCAGGGCACTTAAGTTTTCAGAAGAGAGGGAAGAGATTTCTGCCTATTCCCACTCAGGCTGCAGCCCTCAGTGCCCCCCACATGTTGTTCCTTTGGGGTCAGTGAACTTTCGGGACCAGCAAAGGGTACAAAGTGGAGGTCTGATTCAGGAGGGGAGAATAAGCAGAAACTACCAGCATGCCTGAAAATTTAAATTGCCCTTAAGTATTCAAAATTAGGGATGGGCACGAACCAGGAAAATGTGGTTCGGTTCATGGCATGCCCAGTTCGTGAACCACGGACCATCACAAACTTTTAGGAGCCAAATGAACGGGTTTAGTATGTAAGATTCATGACCCAGTAGAACAGGGGCCCCACCAGCATGCTAGAGAAACCAAACTCGCAGGGCATCTCCTGCTGACTCTCCTCTACTTGCCCTCCAAGTTTGGTAAGGATTGGATTTACAGGGTCTGAGATACAGCCCCCCAAAGAAGGTGCCCTCATCCTCTATTGTTTCCAATGGACTAAGGTCAAACCAGAGAATCTCTCAGTAGAAGTTGAAGACGAGGGAGACCCTAAACCGGAATCCCCATGGGGGGTGGTAAGAGAGGCATGGGTCGCTTCTGCTCCAACCAGCACTGCTTTCCTGTGTAAATGCCCCTCTCAGAGCTCTAGATTGTCGTCCTTGCATATGGCTTACTGCAGGGAGAGGAGGCGGCCTTCTATGGCCCTGCTGGTCTCCACGAATATAAGAAAGAAGGATGTTGCAAGACAAGAAGATTTTGGGCTTTCTAACTGCAGTTTTCTCAAACCAAAATAGCTCTAGTTTTCCGTTGTAAAAGCAGGAGATGGGCTGCGACTTCATGTTTGAGATCCAGGTTCTTTCCCCTGCTCCCCCCTTCACCCTCCTCCACTCCGAGGCATAGCTGCACAATGCTAAGCAGGTTTGACTCTAAACTCTACTTGTTCTCTACTTGGGGCTGCCCTTGTCTCGGATCCGGAAGCTGCAGCTGGTGCAGAATGCCGCAGCCAGGCTGTTGATGGATCTCCCTAGACGAGAGCACATCCAGCCTGTGCTGAGGACACTGCACTGGCTGCCTATAGCATACCGAGTCCGTTTCAAGGT